CACAAATGGCTTGGCATTGACCTTTAACTTTCAGGTGAAGCGTAGCAGCCTTTCTCCTGGATACTTTCTACCTAAAATTTTAGTCAAGATGGGCTCAGCTGGGCTGTGGTAACTAACCCAGCCCGTCTGGGTGGCTTATTTTACTGATAAGTTTACTCCGAGTCAGGAGACTTTTCAGGACAGCTGCGTTCCGTGTGGTGACTGCATGATTCAGGTTGCTTCCATTTTGTGACCTTTCAGTATGTAGACCCCACGACTGGCCTGTCACTGTGTCAAAGGAAGACAGAGCTGGAGGGTTGTGCCCCAGCTCTTAAATGCTTTGAGACTCAGAAATGCCACATTTTACTTCCACTCCGCCCTCCCTGCCCACCCCGTCCCTCCATTGGCCAGAGTTAGTCACACACCCCAACCTAACTTCAGAGGAGGCTGGGAATGTTGTCTTCCTAGAAATCCAGAAAGAGGAAAATAAAATAAGATTTGTTAAAAACATTATTATCTCTGCCACTCCAAACATGCTTTAAAAAAAAAAAAATTGAAGGCAGTAATTCAAGATATATATATGTACCCTCTCAGAGAATATCCTGTTAGTACATGGTGTTTTGTTTTTTTTTTTTAAGTAGGCTCCGCACCCAATGTGGGGCTTGAACTCACAACCCTAAGATCAAAAGTCATACGCTCCACTGACTTAGCCAGCCAAGGCGCCCCTCTGTTAGTATATGAAAAGCCTCTGAATAGTACTGCAGTAAATATGAAACCCGTCTTCAATCCATCATTTCCCAAGTTTATTTGGTCATAGAACCTTTTTTCCCTAAGTGTAATATTCCTTAGAACTGGTATTCTGAGGTGCAAACTTGTCCTAAATGAGTCCACTGTGGCCCTTGGTTTTTCTACCTTGTATAACCACTCTCAGGGCACCCATGTCTGGAATACCACATAGCCCTGGCAGAATCCTGGAGAACACCACCCCACCCCCCTCCAATTGTCAACAGTTCTCCTGCAGGCCTCCACTCCCTGCTTCCTGTGATTCATACCCGGTCAGGCAGTGTTTTCCAGGAGCTCATCACTGCAAGAGGTGGGTCTTAGTCATAGATGCTTATTTGGAAGGGACCAGAGTCCAGCCCGTGACCCAAGGAAGAATTTCTTCCTAATCTGTTCAGGATGAGGCCTTTCCCTTCTGCTGGATTCCTCCAGAGACCCAGCGCTCACTCACTTGCCAAGCCTCCTTTGGCACCGTTGGGCAGCTCAACATCCCGTCCGGACCATGCTCCGCACTGGGCTAGCTTAAACCCTCCGAGGCGAGACTGCAAAGCCAGTTTCTCATCACGTGACAGATGTCTGAGGCCACGACAGCTCTTGTTTCAAGTGTCTGTGACAGTTTCCAAGCTCCTCAGGGCTCTGCTCTCCTCCCCCAACCCCGTTGTAATGTCAAGGCAGGGCTTCCCATCATCCTTGGGGTTTGGGCTTGGCATTCCAGTTTCTCGAGATCTTCTGGAATCTTGAATTGGGCCCTGAATTGCGTTGGGTGATTCGTCACTCTTTCCAGGTTTGTGTTGCCAGCAGGCAAACCCAATGAGCACACTACAGTGGCTTCATCCAAAACACTGAGCAGGCCTGGGATGGAGAAGGTGAATATGGAGAGGCATAGGTTGGGGAGGGCGGGAAAGAACACCTCCTGGATTCACCTGCCAACCCTCTCAGAGGCCAAGTTCACTCAGGTCTGTCCTTCCAGCCCAGCCCCTCCTGTTTCTGGAAACTGCTCCCTTCGCTGCCTGATATCTTTGATATCAGGATATGAGGGCTGCCATGTTCTTACCAGCCCTACTACCTCTGCCCACAGCTAACTGGTCCAGATACAAGCTCATCACAGGATCTTTGGCCTTGGCAAAGGGTCTGGTCAGTCTCTCACTAAAGTCAAAGATGTATGTTTTTGATCTTAAAGGAAATGTTGGTCTGCAGGGGGAGAGAAGAAGGCCAACGTGTGATCAGGGCACAGGATGCCCCAGCAGTGCCTGGCCCAGTGGGAAGGGCAGGCGGGTGGGGCTGTTACTTGGCTCTTCATGAGCTCTCCTAGCTATGGCATGCATCCAGCATAAATGACGGAGGGGACAAATAATAGATACAAGCGGGTGCCTTTGCTGATGAAATACCGTTGTGTGTATATACACATTTACCTCACGAAATGTATCAAACACTCAGAAAAAAGTACCCTTTCTCACAGCCCAACATTGACTCAGCATGCAAAACAGCAAGCCCTGCATCGGTGGCCCAGAACCATGGCTCTGGCCATGCCAGTGTCCCAACCACCTGCTGGCCTTCCTCCTGAGGACCCGCACCTCTCTCACTGCTCTCAGAGCCAGCTAAGGGTGCAACCAGTTGTCTGCCTCCCTGGCCTGGGCCAATTCAACATGTGGCCCCTGCCCTGGCTTAGCAGCTCCGTGGGGAATCCGAGAGCGGTCTGTGCTGTTGCATCAGGTGGCAGGAGGCAGCGGCCAGGCGTCCACGGCATCCTGCAGCCCCCTCACACTTCCTGGGATTTGTCCACATCCGAGACCCAGAGCTTCGGAGGGAGGGTGTGTCCACGGTTCTCGGGGATGGTCCTGGGGTCCCACCGAGGCCGGGGAATGGGATGGTGGCAGGCAGAGCAGAAGGAGCCAGTCCCAGGGCATTGTGAGCGGTCCCTTTCCATGATGCAAGAGAAAGAGGAGCCTCCTCCGCTTTCACCAGACGGGATGGGGGGAGGAAAGCAGGAAGCACGCTGGCAGGATCCAAAGTTCCAACCAGACTGGCCGCTGGGCTCGTTCCCTGGCGTGTGGGTAGACGGATTACGTGCGTCTGACACGCTCAGATCATGGCTTTCCCAGCACTGTGCTGGCCGTGACTGCAGTGGCTTTAATCCCTTCACGGGCTTTTCGGTCCAGTACCCCATTCACTGTACACACACCCCAAACTTGCCATGGGGCAGTTTGGTCCCAGCCTGGCCAGCTTCCTGGAATTCAGCCCAAACCAATACTTTTGGGGACTCCCTGCAGGGTTTCAAAGAACGTTTTCCCGCAGCCTCCAAGGAGGACGTTCCAGCCCCCCGGACCCTGCCGTGGATGCCGGCGGGCAACCGCGTCCCCCTACCCGCTGAGTCAGCCGCTTGCCTTCACCACCCAGACATCACACCCAGGAAGAGAGCTGGGAGTGACCCCTTGCCTGAAGTTGAGGGTCAAGGTCAAGTCTTTAAGAAGATGAAATCAACTTCCAGATCTAAAACTACCTTTATTTGTCATTGGCGCAACATGAGACGCCATCATGAATCAGCAGAATTATAAAACTGTACAGGAGGTACAAAAATAGGCTGTTTAACTTAGATAATTACCCTCACATCAAGCTTTAAAAATACACATAAAAATTGTACAATCTGGCAGTTTATAAAATATAAAGCTAAAAAGAGGATTGTAGGTTCACAAAGAGGATTCTATCACACAATTAACACATACCCATTAAACAACCGTCCACAGAGAAGACACAATGGCACAGAATTTTCTTTAAAAAAAAATCACTTAAAAATGAAAATTTTTACCCTGACCAAATCATTCACCCTTTAATGACAAAACCACTGTGAGGCATCCATTCCGTGGAAGGATACAGTAGAACTTTTCCAGTTTTAAAATGGTCAGGGGTGTGTTGTCCAAAACAAATCTGATGTGCTTTCAAAGCAAGTGCAATTGTAACTGGGTATACGTCAGAGTAAAAATTAAATAAATATAAATAGGTTAAATAAATAGGTCATTGCAAAAGGAACACTACGTAAGGTCTGCATCTGAGAATGCCGCATGTTTGACTGGTAATGCTTTCTAGGTAAGTGGGGACTCCCCCGTCACAGCTTTTGGGATACTGAAAAGAAATACTGTACCCGCCGAACACACAGAGAGCACAGGGTGAAGTGAGCGGGGTGCGGGCTTTGGCCAGAAGCGTTAAGGCTGCTCCAGTGGTAGGCTCGTCGCAGATGCTTTCTTTGTGGTTGTCCAATGAAAACAGAAAGGGTTTATGCGCTGATACAAGAAACGGGAACCTGGGTTACTCATGGGAAATCACTGTTTCATAAAAGAAACAAAGTATGGGAAGAAGGGACACTTTGATTTAAAAGGTAATGGTCCAACCTTGGAAGGCGGAATTTGGGCCCATCCGTATGGGGCACCTGGTGACTCTCTCCTAGGAAAGACCAATGCCAAGCCATACTCAACTGAAAGGACTGCTCCGGGATGGTGAAGGCATCAGCAAGGAAAAGACACTGACACGTACAAAGAAAAGGGATTTCAGGAACTAAACGAGCAGAGAGAAAGCTAAAGAGAACTTAGAAGACTCTTTACAGGTGTGCTGTGTGCTTCCTCATCCAGCTCTTGGGGGGCAAAGAACCAGTCTACCCTCTGTGAGGACTTCGAGGCCAAGGATGCAATGAACAAGGCTGGAGAATGAAAGCAGTCTCGGGACATCCAGGCCTGGCCAGAGCGCGGCTTCTGAAGAGACAGCAGCTGAGAGGAGAAAGGCCTACAGGCCAGAGGCCCCCCCCCCACAAGTGCGAGGGGGGCAGCCGGTTCATCTTTCACGGCAGTGAGAGAAACTGCAATGGGAAACAAGTCACATTCACACAAAACCTCACCAAAAGTTGACTCTGAGATAAACACCTTTCTTCTAGAGTTGGCAGAAAGAAAATACTTCGCTGGACCCACTAACCTGTGGATCTTCCAATATGTGCCAGAGTGAGGTCTCACCGGAAAGAACCGAGGATGACTGTGGCACGGAGGGGGAGCGGGAGGGAGAGCCTGCCGCGCCCCGGGTTTTATGTCAGCCACTAGATGATTCAGTGACTTACCAAGGACACCAGTGATTCCCCAAAAGTGCAAGTGCTCTGATACCTAGTGACATGTGAGCTCTTTATACGCTGAAGTCAAAAAGACTCAAAAAGCAACAGGAAAAATTCTGGCAGGCGCACCGAAGACAGATTCAACGCGAGGTTCAAGACAAGATTTAATGAGAGTGTCCCTGGGGTTCCTAACAGATGCGACTAAATTCTGTCGGGAAAAATGAAAGTAGCGTACTTCTAAAAAGTTAAACAGCCTTCTAGAAATCACACTAAAGATCAAATAGCTCAGCTGCTACGCGATGCACATGGCTGAAAAACCCTGTTCTAGCAAAAGACATCTTCCCGCTACGCTGAGCACAACAGGAAACCAGAATTCTACAGATTAGAACAAGATATAGCACATGATGCCCAAGGTGTTTCCACGACAAGTGCCCACACGAGAGACCTCTTCAAACCACCCGAGGGACTGATGAGTGACCAGATTCCGAAAAGCGACGGACAGAAGGCCAACGGAGCAGACTTGACCAGATCAGATGGGTTCTGGGTCACAGGCAGCTTTAAGAAAGAAGAAGTGTGAACAGCAAACGAATGCCCTTGCCCACCCTCTGGCTTTTCCGGGAGCACTGGTGCTTACTTTCTGCTTACTTTCTTACTTTCTCTCTCACTCCACGCTCTTTAAAAAGCAGAGGTTTTGCCTATCTTGTTTACCTCTGCATCCCCAGCACCCAGGATCCTGCCTGGCTCACACAGTGACTACTCAAAATAAAATACATCGAATACAGGAGTTTGAGAAAGGTGGGTGGTTAGAAAGGAAGGCGATAAAGAGAAAAGGCATTTAAAAAACAGCAGTCCTGGAGACAAGGTGGGCCCAGATAGGGAGAGGACACAAACCCTGGGCAGCCAGAAGTGACCTGACTACTCCCCCCAGGACACTGTCCAGCCATGAGACCAAAGCAGGCCAGGTCCCGGCAGCACAGAGAGCCGACAGCCCTGTTCGTCCCTCATGGCACCTTCTCCGCCTGACTGCCTGGCAGGCCATCACCACTCAGGCCCGGCTGTGAAGTGACCAACCACAGAGCCATACAGACAATGGTGCGGGTGCATCAGAGCAGGGAGAGGAGAGGCGTCTGGCCGTGTTCCTGAAAAATGGGAGGTATGGCAGAAGATACCACGATGTCAGCCAAAAACGCCAGGGTTCCAAGGTATCAATGAGGTAACTGATGAGGTTTAAAGACGCAGGATAATGCTAATTTAAGAAAAAAAGTGACTTCAGGCATTATGAAAGGGAACTGAATTCTACGAAGGCAGAAGGCCCTCGTACAAATCCATCAGCAAGCGCGTCACAGAAGAAACCGTGAGTTCTCGGTCCGTCAGTACACCCTCACTCCTGAGTGGAGTCTCGGAGGTCGGTCGCCAGCACTGAAGGCAGCGTGATGATGTGCTCACCCGGCTGGACAACGGACACGGGAGACATCTCCTTACTTCGTACCCTGATCTCACTTAACTGCTAAGGCTCTCGGTAGAGAAAAGACAGAGGAATTTTTGACTGAAACTAAAGTTAAAAATTAAACTAGTTTTAGCAAAAAAAGATGGTATTGACATAATGTAGAGAATATCACTTCGAAGCTGTTTAATGGATGTATATAGCCTTGCTCTAATGTTTTACTCCTCAGCAGTAGAGCACGTTCTGAACACGAACACTCTTTCTGGAGGGGATGGAGACTTTTGGTGCCACACAAAAGAGAAAGTGTACTATAGATCTTGCATTTAGCTTCTTCACGAGTAAACTTCAAGTTCAGCTTACCTATGCTAACGCAGCATTCTACAGTATGTTCAAAAGAGAAAGTTATTAAAATCTGCCAGGAGAAACATAAAAACCTGCCCACGAAGCAAGTGGTGACCCTGGCCTTGGCTCCGCACCCCCCCGGCCCGTCCTGACGGGTCCAGGGATGGGGGAACCTCATTGCCCACCTGCTGGCCCAGGGCTCTCCCAGGGTGGCTGAGAGGGTCCTATTTGGCCTGCTCTCGCCTGGGTGCTGCTCTTCGTGATGGGGAACTTACCACCCCTCGCCCCCAAATGCTCCTAAGCACCCCCTTCAATCCACCGAAGGCCACTGGGGCATGTGGTGCTGATCTGTCCCAATGCCACGCCCCACACTCCAGACTCTTCGCTGCCCCCAGGGAACACTGGTTATAGTGACCTGGGAGGCTTTGGGCACGTTCACGATGAGTGAGGCATCTGTGATCCCCGGGGAACGACACCCTCTGAACGTCTTCCTCCTCCTTAGCGCCGCTCACCTCTGGAGCCCCACTCCGAGCAGAGGCTGCACTGAGTGCGTCTCAGCCTAGCTGTCGAGGAGAGAGATGCTCCTGGTCCTGCCTGTAGGCAAAACATAGCACTCCCTCCTCTCTCTTCCTCATAGGCCGACATCAAACAGGAAGTTTATAAACAAGTGTAAATCTGAAGCACGTGTGTCCACGAGGAGGTGGAGGATGCCTCCTTCGCTGCCTCTGCGACGGGCCCTCCTCGGCAGAGGACCCCCGAACGTAAAGCTTTCATGGCCAACAGCTTCCCAGCATCCTACAGGCCAAGGCGGGGGGGTCGTGTTCCCCACTTCCTGGGGTGAGCATCATCTTCTGCTGGCTGTAGAGCGGGCTCAAGGCACTTGGTTTGGGGGCCTGGTCTCCCTGCTAAGCCGGGAGGCATCGGGGCTGGTAGAGACCAGGCCCTCAGTCACAGCTGGGGCCACCAGAATGGCGGCCACCCTGGCTCAAAGGGCGTCTGGAGTCACAGGGGGCCGGAGCTCTGGGGGCTCGTGGAAGTAGTAAGGCTGGAAGAGCCTCTCGTGGCTGCAGGGCTCCATGGCCCGGTAGGTGTGGGGGAGGAGGTGGGGGAAGCGGGACGTGAAGTAGCGCACAAAGTCGTCGGGGAGAGAGCCCAGCGTCTCCCGCACCTCCGCGGGGAGCTCCCGGTAGTGGTGCTTCTGCAAACAGGGCGGACACACAGACACGGCGGTTAGCAGCTGGGAAGCTGGGAAACACCGCTAAAAGACCCTCTTACTATCCAAGGAAGACAGGATGTTAGCGAGTTTTCTGAAAGGAGAAAAGGCTTATGGACCCAACGGTCCATCTGTTTATCTTACTTGCTTCCCCTCACTCAGGAGGAGGCCTCAGAGCTGGGCCTGGCCCAGTGCTGTGAAGGCGGGAGGGAGCTTCCCTACCAGGGTGGCCCGCGGGCCAGGCCCGTGTGGAAAGGTCTCCATTAAGGGAGTTTATACGGCGGCGCTGTATCAGGCAGGCACAGGGCACACAAAAGTCACCACAGACAACAGCAGCATCAGAGAGCCTGCTTCCCAGAGTGGAACTCCTCACAACATCCCTGAAGAGAAAAACTGTCCAAGGCAACACAGAAGAGCCTCTGCGAGGTCAGGATTCTAGTATGAATGGAAGGACCCAGAGGACAGAAAGGAGGAGGAGGGTGGTTGTACCCTGGCTGCTGGCCTCATCTGGGGTTCACCCCCCTTACCTTGTTTCTCATGGCTCGGAGAAGGTCGCGGACAGAGCCACCTTTATAGGTTCTGAATTTACGCAGATCTAGGGGAAAAAACAAGGACTACAATGTAACAAACACATTTCGAAAGGAAAGGACTGCTGGGGTTCCCGGGATTAAGCGATCAGACTGAGACACGACATAACTCTGCCATACTTATGACTGACAGGAGTGTGTCCCCCAGAGTGAACCCGAGGGCAGTGGCAGTCTGAATTCTGCCTCCTGGTTGCACCCACAACCAGGAATAACCAGTGAGGGCAGGGCACCCATCACTCACCTGTCACCCTAAGGGACGCACATGAAACCCACGTCAGTGTAAAGGTCTGATTTGTGCCCAAACCCCAGAGGACACACCCACAAAAGCCTCAACCCTGCGAGGGGGATTTGGAGCCCAAACAGCCTGGAGTTGCCAATTCCACGTTCACTTCCTAGAAACGGCTGCTGCTCTTGAAACGCGTCTGCCAACATCTGCCATCAGGGCCTCGGCATGGTCACCTGTCTGCAGGGGGACGGTGATGTTCTCTCTCCAGTCCGTCTTCACCACGGCTTTCCCGCCTCGCTCCAGCTGCTTCACTATCGGGCCGTCCAGGGATTCCTTTTCTATTCGGTCACTCACGTCCTATGAGGGTGACAAGGGCAGCAGGTGACGGTCAGTGTGCAGAGAAGCAGAAGCTGGAGGAGTGAAACACCAGGTCACAGAACGGTCACTGCCCCGCAAGCCGCAGGCCCAGACTGAAGTCTGCCTCAGAACCGGCAGCGAGCGTCCTGTCTCTGTCCCCTCACGATCCATTCACTTCTCCCCCGTGAGGAGCCGTGTCTGGGGTTCACAGGGGAGAGGCCCACATGGACATCTCCGTGACAGAGACGTGTCACACCTCTCCACAAACCCTAACGCCTCACCCACGTGTCACCCATGTGCACACGTACGACGTGCCACACGGAGCCCCTGTGGGCAACCTGTGTTCATCAACGGACAGCAAGCACCACCACCACCACCAGAGCTCAATTCTGATTTGCATCTTGCGCTTTCCACCACCCAGGGCAACGGGACAAGCGCAAATCTCGACTGGCCATCAGTCCTCATGCAAACAATCAGAGAAGACAGATGAAGCCCTCTTGTAGAGGGAGAGAGCTGCTGACAAGAGTGTGGGCTGCAGAGGCCCTGGCCCGTGTTTGAGGGACACAGCCTGGGCACGAGCTCCAACAGCCGAGGAAACGGGAGCGGCGAGCCCCCCACACGTTAACGCCGCACAGCCTCACTGGCCACGGTCTCTTCTTCTCTGATGAAGATGGAGCCTGGCTGGCCGACTCTCGGACTTGTACCTGCCATGGGCAAGCCTTGGAGGGACAACTTCTGCAAAGCGGGTATAGCTGGTCAATACAACGGAAGCCTGGTGTGTTCACAAGACATGGGACTTGGCAAAACTTAAGAGTTTCAATCCTAACCCACAGAGGGGTGGAGGTCCCTTTCTGTGAGCTTTATTCCTGCCCTGCATCTGATCATCATCAAAGGAACCTGGCTAGTTTTCAGGAGTCCCTGCAGGACAAGTGACCTCAGAACTCGAAGGTTATGACCTGTGCAACACAGAGAACCAGCCTGATGTTATCCACACTCACTGCTGCCATGGAGAAGGGCACGAAACTCTCCCCTTCCCAATCCATCCAAACAGTGACTAAGCATCTGCCATGTGCCAGGCTATGTCCTGGGCAGTGGGGACACAGCAACGAATCCAGAAACCAACCACTCCTGCCCTCAAGGGGCTTACGTGTTGGGAGTTACACCAGAACCAAAGCTCTAGTCAGACTCCAGGACACTTTGATGATCACTCCTAAACCCAAGCTCCCCTCCGATCCAGGCCCAGGAGGAAAAGCACTGCCTGCGTGTGCCTGCTTCTCAGAGCTGGTGTGCTGGGTAGGATGTGTCTGGGATTGAGCCATGCTGATCTGATCTCAGAAGGCTCAACTACAAAGCCTTCATACAGCCAAACCACTGAAGGAGCTCACAGCTACTGATCCTACAATTTAACATCTCAGAATCCACCTTAAGCAAAGAGATCTGGGCAAAGACTGAGTTAAAAAGGACAGAAAGAGCCCAATGTAAGTAAACGTTTAGATTTATGAGACTTGAATGAAATACGATGCCTATGATTTGCTTCGAAGTAATCGGGTGGAGAGTGGTGGACAGAGAGCAGAGGTTCAGGTAGTAATTGCCGGAGCTAGCTGATGGGTAAATGGGAGGTCATTATAGTATTCCCTCCACTTTTGTGTGTATTTGAAAGTTCCCAGAATATAGTATATGACAGAGCACTAGAGTCATTAAAGTTTTAGAACTTTAACATGGAGAAAGATTCTGTTAAAATTCTACATTAAAGATCATATTAACACAGTACTATTAATACTGTAATAAAATACTATATTAAAATATTATGTACTGTAAAAAAAAAGAAGATACAAAATTGTATATACGGTTTAATCCTAATCACATTTTTATCTATATAAAAAAAAGTATGTTAAAATGTCGACCATGGTTATCTCTTGGTTATGGGATTAGGAGCCATTTGTTTTTTGTTATTTCATTTCATTTCATTTCATTTCATTTCATTTTCACTTCACTTCACTTCACTTTATTTTATTTTATTTTATTTTATTTTATTTTATTTTATTTTAATTTTATTTTATTTTTATTATTTTTTGCCTTTTGCTGTACTTTCAAAATCTGGAAGAAGTTAAATGAAGACTTTTGATAACAAACAAACCACAAACAAGAGATGTACCTGGAAGAACTGGAGCTGCTTTTCCAGGCTCCAGAAGAACGGGTGCTTCAGCACATGCTTCGCAGAGGGGCGTTTCTGAGGATCCATTGCGATCATCTTCTCTATTAATTCCCGGGCAATGACGTCTTCTACAGAGGAGGAAAATAAACAAGTAACTGATTATCACCGGCACACAGCCACCATGAAATACTCAAACCTTAACGGTGCATGTGCCTTTTGATTCAAGATTCTACTGACACAACCTCACTCCAATAGCATAATTAAGAACTTGCACAAGCTTCAGCTGATAAGGGGAGTCCTCACCACAGTCTGTGAAAAGAAGTAATTGGAAATACCCACTGTCCTTTGGTAACACTGCCTCCACGTACTGGGCTGTGCTATTAGAACGATGCCCTGGTAAGGGGTATCTGGGTGGCTCAGTCGGTTGAGGGTCTGACTTTGGCTCAGGTCACGATCTCATGGTTCATGAGTTTGAGCCCTGTGTCAGGCTCTGTGCTGACAGCTCAGAGCCTGAAGCCTGCTTCGGATTCTCTGTCTCCCGCTCTCTCTCAAAAATAAATAAACAATAAAAAAAAAAAAAAAATGATGCTCTGGTGGAATACCTATCAACTTGGAGAGATATTCAAGATGATGTTAAAAAACAGGCATGCCAACTATCAACAATAGCCAAAGTATGGAAAGAGCCCAAATGTCCATCAATGGGTGGATGGATAAAGAAGATGTGGTATATATATATATACACAATGGAGTTATTACTCGGCAATCAAAAAGCATCAAAGCTTTCCATTTGCAACCACGTGGATGGAACTAGAAGGTATTATGCTAAGCGAAATAGAGAAAAACAAATATCATATAACTTCACTTATATGAGGACTTTAAGACACAGAACAGATGAACACAAGGGAGGGGAAGCAAAAATAATACAAAAACAGGGAGGGGGACAAAACATAAGAGACTCTTAAATATGGAGAACAGACGGTTACTGGCGGGGTTGTGGGAGGGGGGGTGGGCTGAATGAGTAAGGGGCATTAAGGAATCTACCCCTGAAATCATTGTTGCACTATATGCTAACTTGGATGTAAACTAAAAATAAATCAATAAATTAAAAAATAACAATTACCCATAAAAAAAGAACAAAATAAAAATAAAGGCATGTAAGAAAAAAAAGCATGCCAAAAAAGAGTATGTACTATTTATTTTACAAAAGTATGCATATCTATCTAAATACATGATTGGAGTAAGATATACAAAAGTATTAACAGCAGGAATTCATCACTGTGTAATGGGATTATGGATCTTTTATGCTAATCTGTTTTTTCTACAAGGAATAATAAAAATTAATCCAAAACAGTGAGTGAGTTTTACATTTTTTAAAAAGGTGGCACTGGGTGTCATGGGCCAATTTTAACACAGGAAACGCTGAAGTCAGGAAAAAAGACCTGTCGCCCCTGCACCCAGAGAGCAAGACCCAGGTGTCTGCCCCCCCTGCCCAGCCACACCCCCTGATCACCGGCCGGCACACGAGTTTATGGAGCACAGACGACTGTCCTGAATGTCAGTGCAGAAAGAGACTATTAAATGCTCACAAGCCACAAGCTGGAAAATAGAGGTCCTTGCCCGGGTCACACAGGTAACTGGGGGACCTGAAGGAACCTCAGAGCTGTGTGCTTTCAGGAGGAGATGCTCCAAAGACAACCCAACCTTCTACCAGCTTTGGAGTGAGTCAGCGATGCACTGAGGCCCACAGGGCCAGCAGATGGAAAGAAGGGCCTCTGGAAGCACAGGGCTGGTGCCCTCCCAGGGCTCAGGGGCCACGTGGTCAGCCGGAGCGGCTCCCGACCGTCCTCTGCCGCCCCCTCACCGTGCTTCTCCGGGTGTAAGCAGTCGAGGCTGTAGGCGCCCAGGAGGATGTTGGCCTGCCGCTGCAGGGACTTGCCAAAAGGGTGGCTGCCCTCAGATATCACGTAGTAAAAGACACAGCCCGCAGAGAAGATGTCCACTGTGTAGGTCTGAAAAGAGAGACGCAGGGTGTGAGAGGCTTCTGGAAAATTCTCATCCTCACTGAGAAGCAGCAAGGACAGGAGTGCTGCTGTTGCTTCTACCACCTTGAAGGGTCCCGGGAGACTGACTGGAAAGTTGCGGGGAGACACGGACAACTGCCCACACTTGCCCCTTTCACTTGTCTGAACACGAGACCACGTGGAAAACGCCAGCAGCATGCTATTCACACAGAAGCTCTTTGATAAAGAACTGTCATGTTCCAGCTACGTGCGCCGCAGCCCCCAAGTCTTGAATGCGGAGGCTCTCGTCCCCGAAGATGCAAGAGGCTGGCAGTTTTCCCCAGAGCTGCTCCCACTACTCACAGGATTGTCCTTACAGTCCTCGCTCAGCATCTCCGGAGCGATCCAGCCTTCTGTGCCAGGCACTCCTGAGCGGCGGCTGAAACTGTGCCTGCCCACAGCCAGCTTCTTGCAGAGGCCGAAGTCAGAGATCATGGCCTTGATCCTGCCATGTGCATTGGGCATGGACAGGAGAATGTTGTGGGGCTTCAGGTCTCTGTGAACTAATAGAAAACTCCAGATCAGTCTGGTATTTACCAGTGGCGTCGGGCCTCCTCCTGCGGCGGGGAGTGTACTCTTCACGGACTCCCAGCGGGCCCGCCAGACCTCTAAGGGTTTTCTCGTTTGCAGCTGTGAAAGATTCCTCCTCAAATTCTTATTCTCAAAAGGCCACCTAAAAACCCCACAGGCACACCAGTGATGACACTGAGATTCTCAGCAGAGGCAAGGACCCCTCCCCAGCAAGGGAGCTCCCCACCGGCCGCGGCTGGTAAATACAGGGGAAGCTTCTCACCAATGTTGAGGGAGTGCAAATGGGCCAGGCCCGAGGTGGTCTGCTGCAGCAAGGTGATGGGCTCCAGGCCGAGGTGGGCGAAGTCCTTCTGTTCCACGTACTGCAAGAGACACACGACAGCCAGGTCACGCACACGGCCGTTGGGGACGGGCCCCTCCACACAGCACTTTTTTTCTCTAAGTGATTCAATTTTATTCAGGAAAGTCCTGCCTGCAACTTTTTGCCTTAATTAATGTTTGGGATTAGGTTGGCTCATTTTCTCTGATCCTATTTTAAGAAAGAAAACGGGAAGTTGTACTGACCACACTCTATGTCCAAATCCACATTTGCTCACGGACTTTCTCTGGCAGCCGTAGGCGAACTTAAAAGTTCCAGCTGACTCGTGTACGGTGAGAAAGGTAAGAGGCAAGGAACTCAAGTTCACTGCCTCCTACAGGCAAACCTGCAGGTGTCTGATACTGACATAGTGTCACGTGAGCCTGGAGACTGAGCAAAAGGAGTTCGCTGGATGGTCTCAATGACCTGACTCCTCAACCAGCATTCTCCAAGCCCAGAGCAGCCCTAACCCACGGGGAGAACAACTGCCAGGTTTCCTGGAGGCAGAGGGACAGAGATACTAACTGTAACCAAAGACCATCCCACCCAACTGAAGCTGAGGTGATAAAAATACTCTCCAACCGGATTGTTTGTGGTTACGTGGGTGTGAGCCCGTCACATGCACCAACTGTTCATTTACGTGAGTGTGCTGTGTTGTAACTTCAGTAAAGTGAATACAGAGAAATAAAGGGAAAAGAAATCACAGTCTCTCGTGCCACCTGCCTCCAGGAGCAGGGAGGCTGCAGGACGAAGGCAAAGCGGCCCCGGGGGCACCCACCTCCTGCAGGGTGGCCGCACACAGCTCGATGGCAATGTACTGGAACTGCCGATCCCTCTCCGTGCAGAAGTAACGAATCACGTTGGGGTGCTCGTCTGATTCCCGAAGCAGCTGGACCTCACGGTCCGCGAAACTGAAACACTCGGGGAGGATCCTCTTGACGGCCACGTCGCGGTTGTCGAACATGCCCCTGAGGACAAGGATCACAGGTTGGTTTGGGCGGGGGGGCGGGGCGAGCCAGGCTGTGGAAATGGGAGACCCGCAGACCCATGGTGCTCCTTCTGCGATGCGGCAGCCACCCCGGGAGCCTCGTAGCCCCTGACCGACCACCACGCGGCCAGCACTTCTTCCCTGGAGGTGAAGTCCTCCGTCTTGGCCACCACCGTGACCCTGCGGCACCCCCCAGCCTGGCGTGCCACCTGCAGGCCGACAGACCTGGACGTGAGGGCAAGTCACAGAGCTCTCCAATCCACTCACCGGTACACAATCGTGCCCTCAGCTCCGTGGCCCAGCACGTCCTTGGGACAGAATGAGATCTTCCCAACAATCACCATGCTGGTTTCCTCATCTGGGACAAAACAGAAGAAGTTGTTTTAACCAAACCTAACCTGAAACACCTTGAGGCTAGAAAGGAAGCAGCGTCCTGAGCTCAGGTTCAGAGATGGGATCTCACAGGCTCTAGGTTCCCAGCCCCTGGTGACAAGTGCCCACAGGGCCCACTTGCCATCGACACCCAGGGCTGCCACCTCCCCCGCCTCCTGCCCTTTGTTCCTGCCTTTACATTATTGTCAGAAGACAGGGCTTCCCCACAGATCCGCCTACGATTTGAGCCTGGAGCCTCCAGGCAGTGGATGTGCAATGAAGAGACCAGGGGTGGCCTGGTCTGGGGCTCAGGTCTCATACACTAGCTCTGTATCCATCCCCTCAGAACATCGGCCCTGACAACCGGCCCGAGCCCACTTCCCAGAGGAACCGGGATCAACAGTCACACTTGGCCACGGACTAGCTGCAGGAACTCCCCCAAGCCAGATGCCCAGTGCACCTCTGGTCAGCAGCAACTGCCAGCCCTTATGGGGCAAGATGGCAGGAGGACAAGGTGGACCCCAAAAGGCCCCCTGAGTGGGAGAGGCCCGGATGGCATGCAAGCCTGGCCCCCAGAGTGAGAGGGACCTAGGTGAGAACACGGTGAGCCCTTAGAAACGACACTTCACAGTCCCACGGAGACTCCCCCGAAGAACATGCCTCTCAGGTTGTGTTCAAATGAAAGAGAAAACAGCACCAAAATGGCAACTCGCTTTACCTTCATCGTCCTGCTCCAGGAAGGGGCTGGCACCAGCCCTGGAGGCAGAGCCACTGGAGTGGAGCGAGTGGTTGGAGGCTCTGGGGGACGTGCTGGGGCTGCTGGTGCCCGAGCTCTCTGAGTACAGGCCGGACGAGTCCAGGAGCTCAGCATCCTGAGCCACGTCTCCAGGGGGATGGAAGGGCAGCTGCTGCTGTTGCAGGAGCTGGATTTTCTCTAGTTCCTTTTGGAACTGCTGGTGCTGGAGCTGCTGCTGCTGATGCATGCTCTGGGGAGAGAAACGCACATCCAGACACGTGCAGCCCACTCCCCCGGGGACAGAGAGAGGCTGGAAGGGTGAGGCTCCCTGTGGCAGAGGAAGCAGGTGCGCTGCGCAAGGGGTGGGGGGCGGGACGAGACCAGTGAGAAGGCACAGGGCGGGGGATAGGGTGGTTGGAAGACTCGAGTGCTTCTCGCCAGTTAGGAGTTCCCAGGAATGCCCACGCCCCCTGCTGGACGGGCCCGACAGGGGCGGGAGAGGGGACTGAGACGTAGGTGGAGCCAGGGCCAGATGAAGGGGGCTCCATTTAAGTCTAAAATCCTGGGACTTTCACGGAAGTCTGGGAGTGGTTGCAAAAATGAAACCAAAGAGGAAGAATGGTTATGTCACATAGCTTGGAGCATGGTGGACACAGGCAGGTTCAGGCTTGCCGTCCACTACGGCTGTGCACTTGACAGAGGGGAGTGCACAGATGGCCACTGACCAGGCAGAGGAAGCAGCGGGGGCTCGGAACCTCACTGCCATCTTCCCACGGCCACACAGCCAGAATGTGGCTGAAATGTGGCGCCTGGCCAAGGCCCCACTCCAGCCCCATTTCATCAAGCTGCCCTCCCCATACCCCACACTCTTCTCTCTGTTCCGAGAAATTCTTTGTCATAATTTGAAGCAGCAGTGAGCCATGATTGTACTGCCTGTGTGGGAAGGGGACCGAAGGGATGGGTGTGAAGCCAACACCCCCTGGGAGTTTTCTGGTTCTCGTGTACACCCCCCCACACACTCTCTCTCTCTCTCTCTCTGAACTTGGGTTCAAATCCATCACTGGCTGACTAACCCTGGGAAAGTTATTTAACTTCCCAGAGCCCGGCTTCTTCATTTGTGGGCAGGGCACAGTAATAATGACCTCGCAGGACTGTGTGAGGTAAAATAGAAAACAGTGTGGGTGGAGTGGACCCATCTGTACCAATGGAAGGGTCTGTCATCGCCATTCCTGCAGGGGACATGAGCTTCCTGGGCACTAGTATTCCCAGGTGATGACACTTCAATGCTCTGAGCAACTCGAAAAAGGAATATTCTTCTACAAGGTTTTATCCAACCCACAACATATTCAACCATGTAAATTTAGCTCGTTCATTTCCAACTAGATAGTGCAAGGGGTGGTGCCGTTTTCACTCGTGCTAGTGTCTCTAAGAGGCAGTTTGTAAGGGAGGAAAGTTAAGTGGATTTTCATCTATTAGGACTATTCTCAAAAAGGGAAATAGTTAACTTTGGGTGGCTCAGTCGGTTAAGCGTCCCAACTCTTGGTTTCGGCTCAGGTCACGATCTCACGGATTCATGAGTTTGAACCCCACGTCAGGCTCTGTGCTGACAGTGAGGAGCCTGCTTGGGATTCTTTCTCTCCTCCTCTCTCTCTCTCTCTCTCTGCTCCTCTCCTGCTCACGCTGTCTCTGTCTCTCTCAAAGATAAATAAATAAACTTTAAGAAGGACTTCCTTCTCTTAAAACAAAAATAAAAACAAACAAAAAACCCTAAAATGATCTGCAAGCAAGGTTTACAAATCAGCTTTTACAATGAGTTAACTCTAAGACATAGGTAAAAAAATTTCCCGAGAAGCTAGTGTCTCTTTGATTACAACGTTTCTGAAGAGAAGCACATACTTACTCTTAAATGTGAAAGGAAACCTATCTGCTCGTTTGTCATGAACATCAGGTGACCAGCACAGTTCAAAAACATACAGGAAGGCAAAGGGAAGGGGCCGAGCTTTACCAAGGGGTAGGTGATGATGAAGGCCACCCAGCCAATGAGCAGGAAGGTGCTCAGGATGATGGTAGCTATGTCCTTCAGCACAGAGTCCACGGGGGCCTCGGGCTTAGCGGGGGCATGCTCGAACTTCTCCTCCACCTCCTGTGAAACGGCGGTGGGCGCGTTTTCTGAAGTCTGCTCGACCAGGTTGATAACCTTGTGTGGGACAGAGGGACTATGTCACTGCAGGATTTCTAGCCAGATACAAAATGGCCAAACAGTCAAGAGTAGTCATGACTATTTACCAGGAATGACCCCCACCGTAAAATGTGGTTTTTTTTTTTAAAGCTCATCAGGGGCGCCTGGGTGGCGCAGTCGGTTAAGCGTCCGACTTCAGCCAGGTCACGATCTCGCGGTCCGTGAGCTCGAGCCCCGCGTCGGGCTCTGGGCTGATGGCTCAGAGCCTGGAGCCTGTTTCCGATTCTGTGTCTCCCTCTCTCTCTGCCCCTCCCCCGTTCATGCTCTGTCTCTCTCTGTCCCAAAAATAAATAAACGTTGAAAAAAAAAAATTAAAAAAAAAAAGCTCATCAAAGATCACAAAGCCAAACAATCGCTGCCTGTATCAAAGTGACTGCCCTGAGAGGCCATGCTTTATTGTAGTGATTGTATCAGTACTGAGAAACAGTTCTAACAGCAGTACTTTTGGAAATGGCTTCAGATCCCATATTCTTTTGAAAAGCCTTACTGAAGGCAGAGACCTCCTCCTTTGATGGTAGATTTGATAACTGGGAAAACTCTGAAATCATCTGTAACAAAGTCTGGTAAAAATGTTGGCAGTCAATAATACCATGTCACATTAAAAAGGTGGCTCAGTGGATTAAGCGTCAGACTCTTGATTTTTGGCTCAAGTCATGACCTCAGTTTGTGGGATCGAGCCTAGTGTCAGACTCCACACTGACGGTGCAGAGCCTGCTTGGCATTCTCTCTCTCCCCGACTCTCTGCCCCTCTTCCACTCGTGTGCACACATGTGCCCTTTCTCTCAAAATAAATAAATACATTTAAAAAATAAAAAGGAAAACAATGTGTGTGCACACACACGCGGCTGAAGAGTAATGAAGCAGCTTGCTTCTGTGGCTTATAAACTTTCGGTGCAACTCCAAAAACAAAATCATTTTCTCGAGTATTCCACTCCTTTTCAAAGTTTCAGAAAAACATCAGAATCTTTTGTTAAAGAAACTTTTACTTGGGAAGCCCAGAATGAAATCAGATAAAAGTGGACCTTCCGTCTGAACTTCTTGGAGGCTCTAGGACTTCAAGAACAGTTTATAGAACACGTCGATTCATTCTCGAACATCCAGGGTTCCAGGAGTGCCATTACTGCTTGTCCAATGAAGTGACTGCACGGCCTCTGGGCAAGCGCAGAGGGTTTGGCGTCCCCCCCCAACACCCGACCCCACGCACCCACCTCTCCCATCCCGATTCCTGCCTAGGGCTCTCTCCCAGCAGCTGCCCCACCCCTACAGTGCATGGGGCGGGGTGGGACGGCTGGTGTGGAGCAGGCAGCTCAGGAATGTCTGCTGAGCTCGTGATCAGGAGCAACCCTCCTTTGGTTAGATTCTGTTCAAACGCGTTTGTTAAAGAAGGTGCCTTATTGCCATATCGATGTACTTCAGAGTATTTTAATGGAGTTTTAGAAAACTCTGTTCCAGTTTGGATGATTATTAAAATCCTAACTGTGGCTACCTCTGGGTGTTACATTAAGGGTACTGTCCTCTTTCCTTCTCTATACTTTTATTTTCTAAGCGTTCCAGGATGGATAGGAGTGACTTTGATAAGATCAAAATCAGATGGAGACTTCAGGGCACCAATGCTTTCCAAAATCACTGTCCTAGGACTCCATGTATTTTCCCAACTGGCTACCTCTAGAGTAACAGGCAACTCAAGATATTTTGCTCTAGAATTTTCAACAGGCACATGCTTTTCCTTCCTTTCTCTCTGGATAAAATCTGGACCCCTACAGTGAACCTGCCGTGATCGTGGTCCCCCCGCAAGCCAGCCCCTCTCGTCTTCCTTGGACCTTGTCCCTTCTCAGGCCCCTTCTCGGGCCTGGGGTCTCCATGGCAAGGATGCCAAGACTCGCCAAGTCCAAATGGACCTTCGGACCCGCCCCCACCTCACTGGCCATGCTGGACGCCTGTCTGCGGAGCCACCCTCCTGCCTTCTCCACCTGCTCTGTGCCACCTACGGGCATAGCAGTGGTCTCCCAGCCCCCTGGCTTCTGACTGGGACACCAGCAGATGGGCCAGAGGGAGGAGAATGAGGTCCAGTTCCGTGGGGTTGCTGAACATGTCAACTGAACCTCTAGGCTCCTGGCCTGGGGCCCTTTCCACTCCCTCCCCCCAACTTCAGGCTAAAGGATGCAAAGAGAAGCCCTGGGACTGTCCACATCTGTGTGAAAGTCTCTTCATTACACTGCCCTCCGATCGTCCTAATCTGAGTGGCCACTGGTGTCCAGCTGAGACCCTGACTGGCACCCTGTCTCCCCAGGGCTGCAGGAGGGCAGCCCAGGTCAGAGGCTCATGGCAGCTACCGCCTGGGTGGGCCTCCCCACTGCCCAAAGCTCCATCTCGTGGGCACTCTGGGTCCCCACCAGACCGAGCAGCCAAGCAGGCTGCTTCCAAAGGGCCACTCCTGGCTTCGTGAAGCTTCAGGTCTCCCACGTCCTCTTTTCATCAACCCTTTGCTCCACTGCCACGTGCCAGCGAACCTTGGTAACATGGTTCCTCTGTAGGACACGGCCCCATTTCTCACGACTGGCCCCCCCCCCCCCCGGTGGCCTCGGAGTAGGTATCAGCCCCAGAGGTGCCCAGGCAAGGTCAGTCCCACCTCCAGGCCCTCATCCCTGCTGCTCTCTTCCCTCCAGTGCCCTCTGCCTCTCTCCCACCGGGCCAGACCCCCCCTCCCCATCCCTCCACCCTTCTTACAGCCTTCACTAAGCCCTTAGCACCAACCCCCCAGCAGTCTGTCATGGGGTGATGCGTGCTATGGATTCCTGAGCATCCCTCTCCCCTCCCGAGTTCACCGTAAGCTCTAAAGCCAAGGGCAAATGCCTTAGCCCCCAACACCTCACATGAGGAGCCAGGAACTAACTGTTTACGCCCCCACTCACTTCCTCAAAGCTCTTCTTCTCTGAATCGGCAGGAATCACATTTTCTCGATGTTTGGGCAGATTATTGGGGAATCTCTCCAGCATCTTGGTAGACGCAGACAGGGGGGTTTCATGGTGTCCTACGAGAGGAAACAAGCCTTCCATGAGAGCAGCCCCCCACACGGTGAAAGCCCCCCATGCTAAGCTTAGCCTACAGTGGCTCCCCGCTGAGGGGCCCACAGCGCAAACACCCACATATGTAAAGTGAGAGAAAACGACAGGCAATTACCAGAAAAATCTCATCGAGACAGAAATTTGATTACTCGGTGGCACGTATACAGTATTCTGAATCTCATAATGAGGGACGAAGAAGTGTCCTTGTCATGAGAGGAATCAGGACCTTTGAGATGTGTTCAGAGTAAGACTTCTGTGGGTAATTCCTACTTTAGGCTGTATGCTGCCCAAGCATCATGAAGCTTCATTAAAAATTCACGCAGTTCTCCCCAGTTACCTTGTAATATCCCTCTACTAAGGGTCTCACATTCCCCCCCTTGATATTTAAATTGCTCAGGCGGAGTTCTATTCCGATGATCTGCATGCAGACTTCCATCCTGGGAAGTGGTGAATTATGCATAAAAGAGAAACGCGATGTATTTGCTGGGGAGCAGAGGGTCACGGCTCTCTCAGCGCCCACTCCCTGTTCTCCACACTATCTAGTACATGTTACACACTGATTGAGCGCCTACTGTGTGCATATCACTGTAAGAGAGACAAAGTTGAATATAAAATAAGCAACTGGGACTTGATCTGGCGGGAAAGTCTGTTTAGCTCTAACACTAAATGGCTCCTGTACTAACTACCCAGAAGAACCAGTTCACTCTCACGCTGGGCTGTCAGCCCCCTGACATACTTTCTTTTTTGTTCTTTCACTGTGATTCGGGTCTCACCCTATGGATCCCTCCACTGTTCTCTCAAACCTATCAAAGATTTTATGATCTGTATTTCCAAGACAAAAATAAGCAAGGACTAGTCCAAGCTGTGTACATTCCTTGATCTGGAAAAAATCTTTATCTTTAGGTCAGTTCTCTATCTACAAGAGAACACTGCTCTTTAAGGGAAACCTTGTTTTGTTTTAAACCATCGCCAGGTGAGGACCATGAGACATGCTTTGCCGTGAAGCAGGGTGTCCTCAGGTGGGGTCCACCTACCTCAGCCCTGAGATCAGACTTGCTGATGGGGCCCGGGGGTCTGAATGTGAGTTTCTCCCGGTGCCTCTGAGGTTCACTAATAAGAAACCTTCGCTCTAGGGGAAAGCAGGGTGCCTTCCACGTGCCGCCTTGTGCTGCAGGAGCCTCCCCCAACCCTGCACCTACCCCCCCAACAGACCACTGCAGCCCTGATTAGCCCGCAGCCCGCTTCCTCCAGGGCTACTTCTCCTGAACAGGTTTCTCCCGAATCTGGGCCTTTAGGAATCTCATTCTGCACACTCCGAACCAGCGGCTCCACAAGGCCAATCATGAGATCCTCAAACGTGTACAAACAGTACCTGGTCTTAGTGATTTATCTGTCCTCATCACCATGTCTGCGCTCCAGAGCAAAAAGCACAGGCCCTGCCCCAGACCTACTGAATTGGGATCTGCAGGGGTCACACGTGCTTCTGTGACAGAGCCCCCAGGAGAAGCCAAGGGCACTCCGGGTTAGGGCCACTGCTCGGGGGAAACCCTAAGGCCGTGCCACTCAAGGTAAATGGACTCAGTTTATTTTCCAGACCAGTGTGAAAGAGGCAAGATCCTTAATGTCCTCCACAAACACCAAATCAAAGGACAAGGCTGGACGTGAAAGAGCGTATGTTGTTGTACCTGTGGCCCTGAGTCTATGCAGAGATGGTCAAGTCGTTCCACTGCCTTATTTAAAAATGACTGGCTCTGGAGCTCCTCAAGGGGACTTCAGAGGTGTGAGAGGTTCCCCTAATTACTTCTTTATACTTTGTTGAGTTTCTCAGTTGTCTTACTTGGACAACCTTTACATTTTAAAAGGATATCTTTCTGTGGCGCCTGGGTGGCTCAGTTAAGCATCTGACTTCAGCTCAGGTCATGATCTCACAGTTTGTGGGTTCGAGCCCTGCATCGGGCTCTGTGTTGACAGCTCAGAGCCTGGAGCCTGCTTCGGATTCTGTGTCTCCCTCTCTCTCTGCCCCTCCCCCACTCATGTTCTGTCTCTCTCTCTCTCTCTCTCAAAAATAAACATTAAAAAAAAAATTTTTTTTTTTTTAAAAAGGGTATCTTTTTGCAACCTAGCCATGAAGACTTTCTCCCCATGTTTTTTATAGTCTTACATACACATTTCCTTAGTTTCCAACAGTTTGTTCACTTCGTGACCACTGGTGGGCAATTTATGTAACCCTTAACTGGTACATAAAACTAAATGACCTTGTGATTTTAATAGCCTCCACTCATCAGCTATTTTTTTCTTCACCTGGGTCTACTCACACATGCTCTTGAAACTACTTTTGTTCAAAAAAAAGGTAGAATTACTTTGTTATCTCCTTTGCCCATTATTCTGTAAAAATAATAACCAGAAGAAAGTGGCTACAGGGAGTCAGGAAGAACAAAAAAGAACAGGACCCGGACAACCACAAAGGGAGCGATCGGGACTCCAGGACACTCAGGCTCCTGTCTGCAACACCCAGTTACACACCCCCGTCCGGATGCCGCTGCGGGACAGATCCTGCGGCCTCCTGGGCCCACACGCCTCCACGCCGCTCTATGTCCCTTCCCTGTGTCTCTGGCACTGCCCTCTCTCCCCTCCATTCCAGTCAGCTGCTAGTAGGGGGGCGGGGGAGAGAAAGGGGTAGTGGGGGTGGGTGGGGGGACCTCATCAACCCGTGTGCTCTAGCACCCCCCCCCCCGCCTCCTCTCTCCTCCCACAAGGCTACATCCTCACCTCTCACCACCTCTGGGGCTGACAGTCAGCAGATTTGGGGGAAGACAGGGCACAGGAAGGCAAATCAGATTCAAGAAAACTCTGTCCTGCTCTAATTGCTTGGGACACTTGCCAGAGACACAGCTCCTCTCACGTGACTGCCTTCATTTGTCACACTCACTGCCTTCGGGTGTCATCTCGACTTATCTCCGTGGCTCACAGGACCCCCAATTCAACCCAAGGGCCGTTAGCAAGGACAGCAGGAAATGGAAGAGAAAGGAAAAGGGACCACCCCCCCACCCCCACCCCCACACCAGGGACTTGTGCCGTGGCTCCCTGACTCAAGTCTAGCCTTGAACCAGACTCCTCACCCCACCCAATCCTTCCCGGGTCTCCAACCCTCTCCTCCCCCAGCCCTGGCTCCCACACCAACCCCAAGGGAATTCTTCCATAGGAACCGCCCTGTTTCCCCATAAGTGGAAATAACAAGAGTGTCTACCTCACAAGGGGCCGCTGTGAGAAATAAGGAGACGGGTTCTAAAGTGCTTACTGCCAATGCCCAGCACGGAAGACGTTCAGTGTGCCAGATAACTGCACGAATTTTATGTTAGTCGGTACTTGAGTTTTGTAACATTAAGCAATTTTTGAGAAGTGACTTGGTAACACAGCTACTCTATTTATTTTCCTTGGGGGTAAAACTGTTCCCAGGTCTGAAAAGACTAATTTGGACCTGAACTGAGCACAACGCATTAACCACAGTAACTAGCACGGAGGGCTTTTGTCCACCAGGGGGCAGCACGCCATCGCCTGAGGAGCCGAGAGACCCACTCTTACCTATCAGAAGCCAGTAGTTCCTCAAGTAGTTGAGCTTGCTCTTCCCTTTGAGCCCAGGGTCAAACTTTAGGTCTGTGCTGGGCGTGATCACACACTCCCCTTTGTCCCCAATGGTGACCCCGTCAGTCTGGGGGCCTTCCAGCAAAGGAAGTGTGCTGCCCCGGGGCTGTGAAGACAGAACAGGAGTGAGGCCTGTGGCAGCCCTTGCGGACGAGCACCCAAGGGACGGCCACCCTCCAGGGAAGGGATTTCTGTGTGGGGCTGGTCCAGGACAGTCGGAACAAGACACAAAGGCCCTAAGATGGCAGAGGCCCCTCCTTCAACATGTGACAAGGCCGTGTTGACATCTTTATCACGGACATCTTTTTTTTTTTTTTTTTTTTCAATGTTTATTTTTTGGAGAGACTGAGTGTGCGCGGGGGAGGGGCAGAGAGAGACGGAGACACAGAATCCGAAGCAGGCTCCAGGCTCTGACCTGTCAGCACAGCACAGAGCTGTGGGGCTCGAACTCACAAGCTACGAGATGCTGACCTGAGCCGAAGTCAGACGTTTAACTGACCGAGCTACTCAGGCGCCCTATATCGTGGACATCTTTTTAAATTCTTAGGTCTGGGAACCGGGCAGAAGGCGTGTGGAATTCCCAGAGGCTCCTGTGAGGAGCAGAGGGAAGTGAAGGAGTCCGCAGGGTGACACTGACCAGGGCAGAACAAGTTCCAGCCAGGAGCCGGGTGCAGGCGCTGCCCTGCTCACAGGAGCGGCCGACAGTCTAACTGAGAAGACAAGAGATGCCGACCAGACAGCTCCAGTGCTGTAAGGACCCGACCAGCGGCCACGATCATCACGCCTCGAACGTGCAGAGACAGAGCAGTCTGAAGAGGCCGGTGAGGTCTGAGGAGACCTCGACAGGTCACAAAAGGTTGGGAAGGCTTCGGACGGGAGAAAGGAAGGAGAGCGTTTGAAGCGCGAGGTGCAGCCTGAACAAAGGTGGAGAAAGGCGAACAGGAAACTTCTGGAAACGGGGAGAAGACGGACCATCCGACTCTCCCAGAGACACCAGCAGTGTGGCCGAAGGGCCCTGCGTGACTGGGCTGAGGAAGGCGTGAACACCAGCCTGGGGACTTTAGACTTGAACATGAAAGCAAAGTGGCATGACCAGGGCTCTTGCCACGCATCTTTCCTCACAAAGTAGAACGAGGTATGGGCAGGGATTGTCTCTGAGGATTTGCGACCTGTGTCTTGATGCTTTACCCACAGGATGTCCACTTATAACTCAGAGTCATCTTTGCTAAATGGAACAGGAGCAGTTAGGAGGAGGCTGCATCTGTGAGCCCCCCAAAGTAGACTTACCACAACGGCGACCCCCTCGTGCACCATGGAGGGGGAGGCATACAGGCTGGTAGAGTATTTCCCGACATACAGGGTGGGCCTAGGAGACAAACAGACACACACATTCCACAGCCATTTAATTCCTGCATCCCACAAAAGGGGCCTTTCTGGAGAGAAGTATCCCAGCCCCAAATGCCACTCAGAAGAATAACCAGATTAACCCCTAGCATTCCAAGCGGTGGGGATGTAAAGGCCGAGCTACTGTCCTGGGAACCTGGAGTGCAGGCCCCCGCTGTCACTCACTGCCTACAAACAAAGATGTGCACAAGTCACCTAAGCGCAAGCCTGGGTTTCCTCCTCTGCAAATGGCAGGGCCACACTACAGCATGCCCACGATGTCTGCAGAAAGAACCAGGTGCGGTGATCATCCGGGAAGGACCGAATGTTTGCAACCATTGCCAAGCCTCTAAGATAAGATGGTCCCGGCCACAGCACGCTCCAACAACCAAGCTGCCATTCTCTCTCCAGATTCTCAAGGAGTCTAGAGGTTCTACAGAAGCCCTAAGAGACAGTCAACTGCTCTAATCAGGATGGCTACAGCCAAGGGATACACGGAAAGTTCCAACCGGGTAAGACTTCCATTCCCCGGGGTGGGTGGGCTTGGGCTTTGGCTGTGGTGTCGGCATGAAGATGTGGGGGTGGCACCTCCAGACCCTTCTGGTTTCTGTCAACAGCCACTTTGGGGTTGGTCGTCCACTGAATTCTTGAAACTTCTCTCAACAAATATTTTACGTTTCAAAGGTGTACAACTCAGAGAACACTTTCCAGTCCCCTTTGCTCTTTTCTGCAGCTCTGTAAGGTGGGGACTGGGAGGCAGCGAGTCCAAGGGACCGAGTTTCAGGTTGTTAACAGGCAGGGATGGCGACCACAAGCCTGGGGCGTCTTAGACGTACACACTGTGACACTCTTCCCGATTTTTACAATGTTTCAGTAACAGCAAAAATCCAGAAACCACAGTTAAAAAACAAATACACCTCCCGTGTTCCCGCCAGCTGAGACATATCCAAATTGTACTGTAGCTATATACTGGCAGTGTCTTTCTTATCCCTGCTCATGATTTTAATTTATTTAATGTTCAAAAGCTCTGAAGCATCAAGGGATGCCCCGGTTCTCATACGTATTGTGAGCTTTCTGAGTAAGCCCGTCTAGGCTCTTTATACACCCCACGGCTTCAGAGATGTGTGCCTCGAGCCCTGGCACGCTACGCTGCAGCAGGACTGGGACATCTGGGTCGCAGCTGCCCTTTTCTGCCCCCGAGTTAACCCAGACTCACGTCAGCTTGCTCTTGGCCTCCGTCTCCTTGGGGAACGGGTACTTCCACTTGGTGATGCGGCCCACCTCCCCAGACATGAAGGTCAGATAGCGCAGCGTCTCCACTGCGACGTTGATGTGCATCACCTTCCTCAGACCCTCCCGCTGCCAGACATAAAAGGCCACCACAGGGGAAGCGTAGTTTTGGATCCACAGGACGTCGCCAGATTCACTGTCCACGGTCACCACCAGCCCATCGCCGTTGGACACAAAGTGGGATATCTCTGTACAGATCAAATAAACAAAGCATGTGGTCTCACCCCACCTTGTGACCACATCCTCTCTCTCTCCTGGCAAGTGGCAGTCACTCAGCTAGAGGAAACAAGACTTATGGAGTATTCTCAGATATCCTCCCGACAATTTCGCTTGTTTCCAATGGACCCGCGCAGGCTCTATGACACAATCCAGACAGTGAGAGCTGCCTGCTCTTTAAACATAAAAGAGGATCACTCCCTGGAAGGCTATTTACCTGGGGAGATTCTTCAGCACTCTGTTCAATTAGTGAGAGTAAATATGGAGGAGAAAAGAGCCAGAGGAGGGGCCTATGGTTCTGATACTGGATAGCAATCATTTTGAACCGACTGATCAGGCTGAAAGTCAAAGCTGACCACCGACACTGCCCACGTCTGCCCACAGAGGAGATTTCTGGCAGACTTTCAGGTATCGGTGTTCAGATGTCAAAACCTTTTTTTAGCGTCCACTTGAGCTGGGGGAGTGTTTGCGAGAGAAACGGGGTGGGCTGTCGATGTCACAGGTGACGCTTAATTCTGCCTCCCATGGGCTTCTGGTGCGTTCCTTCTGTGACACGGAGGGACTCACCAAAGCGCACCCCTCTCTCCTCTCAGGCTAAACTCCCCACCTGTTTCACTGAGGTTTCCCTCCACACTTCTCACCCCGGCCCCGGCCTTCAACACTGTCAAATTATTTACTAGAAGCCCAGAAGCTGGCGATCGAGAGTGCCTTAAGAGAAAACCCAGCGTCCAGGAGAGATTGCTTCCTCATGGGTCACAAATACCCAGCCAACCTCGCACAGCCGCCAGGGAGCACTTACTGTAGTCCCCGTCGTCCTCCAGCAGTGAGGCCGCGTAGTCGAAGTAGGTGGCATTCCACCGGAGCTCGCGGGTTTTGGTGTCGTACATGGTGATTGTGTACTCTGGAGAACACACACCAGCCTGTTACCTGGAGGGGCCACGGCTCCTGCTGAGGTGCTGCCCGTATCTAAACTACAGCAGACAAGGGGCGCCTGGGTGGCTCAGTCGGTTAAGTGCTGGACTCCTGGTTGCAGCTCAGGTCTTGATCTCATGGTTTCGTGAGATCGAGCTCCATGTAGGGCTCCGTGCTGGGTGTAGAGCCTGGTTGGGATTCCCTCTCCCACCCTCTCTCTCAAAATACATAAATACACTTTAAGATAAATAAATTACTACAGACACATCCTCTCTAAATTGTGTGTAAAATGTCCAGGCCATCCATGTAGAAAGAGAAAGGCCACGTAGATGAGAACTGAAGTCCCAGACACGAGTGAACCCGGCCGATGGCATGTGGGACGGAAATAAGCCAGTCACACTGCACCCTTGAACTCATGACTCACCGAATCAATATCATGGTGTTGTTGGTGTTTTGTTTTCTTGTTTTAATTGCACATCACTTTTTCTTTTTTATCATTTTTTTTTTTTAAACCACCTGTTATGGGGTACTTTGTTATATAGCAATAGATAGCTGATCTTAGAGAAGGGTACCTAGAAGTGGGGTAGGGCCATAACAAAAAAACGAAGCATGTAGCATTGACCGGGACAAGGTGGCAGCTGGAGGCTGGCAGGTCACCGTGGAGACTGAAAGAGCAGTAAGGAAATGCTACCGGAAGCTGCAAAGGGATGGCCCAGGTTACACAGTGGTCACACTATTAGGAAGACCAGTGCTTGCAGTGACTTGGAAAAGTGCAAGAAAGCACCTTGGGAACTTTGTGGATCTGGTGGAGGTAACCCGACCCCCAGGCACCCCAAGTAGTTTCTTGAATATAATGCAGGCCAGAGAAGCTGAAGAAGAAACCATTCAGTTTTCAAGTGAATACAGAGAAAATACAGAGGGTTCAGAACCGATGCCCCAGCTGAGCTGGAAAAGACTTTCACTGCAAAAAAAGGCCTCAAGGTCAAGATCAAATCAGGGCAAAAATGTGCATACCTGGCGGAGAGGGACCCGCTACTGAACATCTTTAAAAATAGCACTGCTTCTTCTGGGAACTGCTTGGGAAATGTTTGAGCGAGGGAAACACAGCCAAGGCAGGCAGGGACAAAAGGGGAAGTCAGTGGAGGCTTTGCAGGCTGCGGTGGTTTGGGCTAATCCCTCAGGCAATGGGGAGCCATTGTGGGGTCTTCTAAAGGGGAACAATGTGGTAAAATCTGCATTTGGAGAAAACAGATCTGGAGACCTTCTAGAGAATGAAGCCCGGGCAAAGGCTACTTCGGGTTCTTTTTTGGAAAGAGGCAGCTTGTAGGTAATAAAAGGTTCCTTCTTACCTGTTCGCCCGAGATACAGCAGAGAGGTTGATGGGCAGAGACTGTCTGCAAAGGCTGATGACAAAGTCTGCTGCTTCTCCCCGGTCAGAAGATCAATAACATACCAAATGTCCTGCTTTTTACCTGAAAGGTCACGAGGACACGCTGTGGTTTACGCTCATCCAATATGAGAAAAAATGTATCTCTGCCAAACGAGCAGGCCAAAACGTTCTCTGTGCCGAGAGGCCTGAAGTTCTTGTGATGTTGAAGACATTTCCATGATGTTCCAAGGGTGACAAGGTAAGTGGTAATGTGGAGATCATAAAACTTCTGGAGCTTCTGGGTCTTATAATAACTTAATAACCTAATGATGGTTTAAAAATTTCTTCAAACCTACTAACCTAATAACTCATAGATTTTATTGCTTTGATTAGTGGCCTTAAATATAAAAAAGCCTCGGGGCAGGGGGTGTGAGGGGGTGCTGGGTGGCTCAATCGGTTAAGCATCCGAGCCTTGATTTTTGGCTCCGGTTCGTGAGATCCGGCTGTGTGCTGACAGCACGGAGCGTGCTTGGGATTTTCTCTCTCTCCCTCTCTCTCTGCTCTTCCCCCGCTCGTTCTCCCTCTCAAAATAAATAAACTTAAAAATATATATATGAAAAGCCTGGCCTATAAAGGACAATCCTTTTCCCATAGACTAGGATCTATATATAGAAAGGGACCCAAGGGTTCATCTCTCTGGTAACCATTATTCATAGATCTCCGCATCCCTACTAACGAGCCCGCATGTTAAGAGGATCTACCGTCACTGTTTATATCTCTAATTAGCTGATACCTCTGACCGGGCAGTAGTCGGTTGCAACCTGGTGCTAATGAGGCCGAACTTTTCTCAGCCCCTGACGCCAGCCAGCAAGTTATTTGCCAGCCACACACTACACCCTACTCCTCAGTCAGCTGATTAAAAGGTATGAACAGGCAGACAGCACAGCCAAACAACACTCCTGGGGAATCTCAAAGCGTATGCATCTACGATCTACAGAACATACACCAGAACATCATCCCGGTGATAGTGAGTCCGTAGCATGGGCCTCTCATCTGAAAGTCAACGCATTCACCGTAATGTGTGCATTTCCGTTTTGTAAGGCATGGCCTTATGTGGTCACTTGTACCTTCCTAACTTATTGGCCGAGGTTCCTCTTTCAAGGGAAACGTGGAAGCAGAACACAGGGATGTCAGGAAGATCACAGGTCATCAGAATTTGCTAAAGCTACACTTAGTTCTAACAGATGTAATGTATATGCCTAGTCTACATATGTGAAACTTGTCGATGATAACTTTCTGTTCTCACAACAAAATCTTAATATGAAAAAGATCTGCAGAAAGAGTGAAAACATCACCCAACAGCTGTGACCATGAGCCCTTTCCATCTGGCATGGCACCCTTACTTCAAGAACCATTACAGTCTGCGTAACTCAGTTACCTCTTTAATGATGGATGGGGCAATTGCCACAATTTTAAATATGTTTAATGAATCACTTAAGAGGGTACCACACGAAGATGATGGAAACACACTATCCTAAATGCATCATAAGGGATGAGCTGCTGGCAAAAGCTAGAAGACTAGACAGAAAACAGGGACACAGATGGTCAGATGGGCCCAGAGCGAGGCCCAGGGGAGAAAGAAAGCCTCTGTTGATCACTTCCTCTGAATTTCAAGGCTTGGGACTTCCTCTTTCTGAAGGTGTGCGAGAAAGCAACAGCTCCAGCGTCCCTGGCAAAAACTTAAAAATCCAGCCTGCACTTAATGCCCAGAAACACACATAAAGCTCCCGAGGCATGAATAGGCAATAAGAACTTTCAGTTCCTCAGAAGGAAAGCTGCTGTATAAATACAGGATATTATTACTACTATGATTTCAAGATAAACACAGCTCTCCTTTGTATTACAAATGCATTTTTATTGACATTTTGGCAGCAACATGGTAAAAGAAAAGAGGCGATCTGATGCTTTGAAAGAGGTGACCCCCACAGGTATGAAGGCAGCTTATCTAGCCAAGCTGTTAAGTGCTGTTTTATCCAATATTCTGATAGCAGGAAATACTAAGAAAGTCCTATAATTAATAGGCAGAACCTGGCTTCCCTTTCTTGGCTCAGAGTCTTGTGTTCACTTTAAATTTCATCCAATTGCTTCTGGGTATGTTGCAATCTTTAAATCACAGGGGTAAGTCAACACAGCAGCTAAAAAGCTTGTTAAATGAGTAACCATATTAATGTGTCAAGTCTGCTCCCAGGTGGGGGGAACCTTTCCTTAATTGGTCAGCTGATCCTGGCGTGAACAAGCACAACCAAGGCAAGAAAGACCTTTCCCAGAAGGGTTGGTGGGGAGTGACCGCACACCTCTCTCTCAGACACACCATTGTCCCAGAACCTGGGACTCGTTTCCAAAGAGATCAAAGTTTCGGTGTTGAAAACAGGAACTCTTACCCATGTAGAGAATTCCATCTGAACTTCGGCATGGGGATGCCTGTACGAGCTCTGGGATGGTAAAGGGAAGTTTCTTTAAAAAAAAAAAAAAAAAAAAAAGGAAAGGAAAAAATAAGTTAACCAAGTCTTGTGCAATTATTATAATTTTACTGTAGTCTTTCTGTTACCCAATTCTGCAAAAAGAGAGAAGCAGTGTTGATGGTAGATGGGAGTTTTCCTGACTGGAAACCCAAGAACAAGGGGGGCCTAGTTGCCCTAGGCTTCCATATCCACTGTGGACAAGACTCCAGCCGCCGGGTCCCCTCCAGGAGCAGGTCCCCTCAGAGTGTCTTGTCCAGAGCACTTCTGGGGAAGACACAAACCTTTGCTGAAAACACTTACACAAATATGGAGAGTGACAGAATCTTTGAAATTTGGGGCGGTCGGGGGGGGGGGGGGGGGGGGAGGGGTGGACAGAAAGAATTGTCTTGTCTTGGAAAACTGACCCAGAACTAGCGAGGCTGACTGGAATGACATGTTTTCAGAGTGTGTGCGAGCCAAGAGATTCATTCTGAAGAGAAGCGACCCCAGCACCCGGCTGAAGCTTGAAGGGAAAGGAGAAGTCAGCATTATGTGGGTGACCCAGGAGCTTGAGGTGGAAAAAGAAGTTCTGATGTTTGCTTCAGAAAATAATTCTCTACTGAAAAACACAGAAAATTAAGGCTTTTTCAATATTAGAAAGAAATTATGGTAGGCGCCAGGAAAAGAAACTCAAAGGAATCCACATGTTTCAACTGCATTTCATCAGAAAACTGATTCTTCTGAGTCCACACAGCTGACATCTGAGGGGTTCTTCTGGTTAACATTCGTTTCAGTATACTTTATTTTTGGAACATTCTGTGTTCTTGAAACTATTCTATAGATATACCTGCTTCTACCACATTGTCATCTTTTTCTCCAAAAAAGAAAAAGATTTCTCTCTAGCTTTAACAAACAGAACTTTAAATAATCAATCGTTTGGATTTTCCCATTATCCCAACACTTAAATGAAGCCTTAGAAAAGGACAAATGCCAAAGAGAGGCTGTCGTGACTGACTGGATTTTTGTCAGGTGTTTTGGAGAATCAGAAAGTCATCGCAAGGCTTCCAGTCTGGGATCCTGTAGCGTCTGCTAAACAGCTCTACAGGACTCCCTGGCCCAAGGGGGAAACACACCGCTCCCGGAACACAGGAAGGTGTGAAGGGTGGTGGTCAAAGCATCCTTTGGAGGTTAGAGCTCAAGGCCAGTTCCAACACTGGAAGCTTTGGCCTTGGGCACATTCCTTCACTTCTGTGGGTGAGGTTTCCACACGTCTTATTTGGGGTAACACCTGTATCCCAGAGGGCTGCTGAAATAGGAGACAACTTCTACAGATAGTCCCACACAGGGTCTAGCAAAAAGTGCTTCGGAAACAGGCTCTGGAATGTGGAGAGAGATGCTCGAGGTGAGACACACACACACCTCTCCACAAGGCTTGCCCTCCTCCCATCTGTTCCAGTCACAGGTGTTCATAAAACAATGTCAGAATATGCCAATCAGAGTTCACAGCCACTTATAGTCTAGACCGCTGCTTCTCGGCCTTAGCTGCACATCAGAGTCACTTGGAGGCTTTTGAAAAAATATTTCCTATCGAAGCAGAACATACAAACAGCACACTGAGTGCACAGCTCAGCTAAGTTTTGCAAAGTGAACCAGCCCATGTAACCAGCATCCACATGAAGCAGCAAAACATTTCCAGCGCTCTGAAAGCCCTCGCCTTCTCTTCCAATCATCCCCTCTCAGGGCCATCATTATCCTGACTTCAAAACAGCATAGGCTGGTTTTTCCTGTCTCTGAGCTTTACATAAATGAATCATTCAGTGTGTAGCCTTTCTGGTTTATCATCTTTTGTCCAACCTCCTGTTGGTGAGGTTTATCCATGCTCCTGGGTAGTGTCACAGGCCGTTGGTCCTCACTGGTGGAGACCATTGAAGGTGTATCACTATCCCATTGATATCCTGTCCACTATTGATGCTGTTTGGACAGTTTTCACTTTTTGGTTATTCTGCATCATGCTGTAGGACATCTGGTACCTGCCTTTGGGGAACATAGACACAGACACTTCTGTGGGTACACGCTGACCCAGGAAGGATTAACTGGGTCATAAGGCTTTACAGATTTTGCCAGTTTCCAAACCGGATATACCAAGTTGCACTTTCACCAGCAGCGTCCAAGAGTTCTATGAATCTTTTGTTGGAGTCATATATGTACTTCAAGTACATTGTGGCCTGCTTCTCTTAATGGTGTCTCTTAACAAAGAAAAATTCTTAACTGTAATATAGTCCAATATATCTATTTTTTTTCCTTTCTCATTAGTGGGGGGGGGGGTATTTTGTTTTGTTTATCTCATCCAAGAAATTTTTTCCTACTCTAAGGTCGTGCAGATGTTCCATTACTTTCTTTTTTTTTCTTAAAGTTTTGTTTTTACGTTTCACATTTAGACATGCAATCTCTCCGGAACGGAGTTCTGTGTGTCTGGTGTGAGGCAAGAGCTCAGCTTCTTTTTCCACGTGGATATCCCAGGTGACTCACCATTTACTGAAAGACCACCCTTCCCCACTGCACTGCAGCCACACCTCTGTCAGAAATCAGGTGCCCGTCTATGTGGGCCTGTTTCTAAATTCTCTTATCTAGGGAGCTTTTAAAAATTCCTGATGACCTAGATCAATTAAATGGAAGCTTTTGGGATTGGGACCCAGACTCAGTCTTTTTTTGTTTGGTTTAGAGGTCTCCAGGTTATTACAATGTGTACCTAAGGTTGAGAACCACTGGTCTAGATTCTCAGATAAAGTTGGGAATGGAACATCACCTGCCCCCCTACCTTGTAAACGGATGTCTGCTCGGGTGGAGGTGGGCAGGGCTGCAAAGTACCCTCCACCCCCAATTTGAAATCACTAGTCGGAGCAAGCCCTGCTGTTAAAGGGAGTATCGTACCTCTCTAGCGTGTTGGCTGGGCCTTGAGAACCTGCTGGTCTAGATCAATGCTGCTGAATTCTGGCTGCCAGTTAAAAGCTCATTTAGGAAGCTGTAAAAAAGATATTGATGCCCAGGTCTCACTGCAGACCTCCTGAATTAGAATCTCCGGGAATTTTTTTTAAGCTCTCAGGTGATCTCGGTGTGCGACAGTTGAGAACCACTGGTCTGGAACCTCTGAAGAACACAAAGAAGCTAAATGCACTCACCGTCAGGCCTTCATTATTCTTGCCCCCAAGTGTATACAGGCTGCCATCATTGGGATCTGGGAGGAAGGCAGGCCTAGAGATTAAGCAATGAGTATCAATAATAAATTACAGCCCAGGGCACAAAACAAAATATCAAAGCCATGCAAAGCCATGATTGGGAGGAGGGGGAGGATGTGTGCGTATAAGACAATTCTACCCACGGCTCTTTCACTTTTAGCCACAAATAAAATATCCCTATGGTGACAGGCTATGTTTGAGCAGAAAAAAGCAACCTGCAGAAAAACAACAACAACAACAAAAAAGCAAAAAACCAACCACAGAAGAGCAAACTGTCGTTTGGTCAAAGCATCCTGGATGATGATAAATAAGTAAAAAGGACCCAGTAAGTCTGCTTTCCAGTTTCCAAGTCAATTGTGTACAGAACTTTAATAATTAATATTTAATAGCATGGAACAGTACACAAACAGGTAGGACAAATCTACCTTCAGTGTTCAACAAACATTTATTTTTAAACTGGAGGCAATAAAAGCAGACTCTGAAAGCCTGACATCTGACAGGACCTGCCAAGGAGGTGGATGGTGTCCAGTACATGGCTCCTCACGAAGCAGATACAACGAGGTCTTTGGTCACGTTAACCTTCTAAAGTCTGCGCTCTGACTAGTCACTCAGGAACCTGTTGCTGAATCTTTTCTGTACTTAGGATGTCCCATCATGTGAGCTCCTGCTGGGGCCATAACACACATGCTGTAGTAGCAGGTCACGGCCATGTTTCCCCTCCATGGTGCGACACAGTGAAGAGGGAGAGATCTAAACCCTCTGGCAGGACTTTGGCAGCTTAAGCTCAAAACTCAACTTGACTTTCATCAGACTTTTTAATATCCCTGCCTCTGCCACCGACCCCAGCAGCTGACCACCCTTTCCTGATCGTAGAACCTGTAAGACTTCCTGTCTCCAGCACTCTCATTATATTTTACATTTATGCACATAATGTACTCCCAACAGCTAGCTTCCTAAATATTAATTGACTAGTTTAGAAAACGAATTAAAGGGAAGTGCTTAAGCAAATCAGAAGACTTACTCTTCCACATGCGTTGGAACCTGCAGAACCGGATCTGTGCAAAAGAACAACAAAGGCATCGTCAGACAGACTCTAAAATATCGGGATTCCGAGAGAGCCCCCAGGACTCACTCACGAGTGACACCAATAACTTAAATTTGCCTACATGAGATAATGTACGTGAAGGTACTTTAGAAAACACACACCCAAAGACACAGACGTAGGCTCTTATGATGGTCTCCGAGGCTGGATAGAGAACAGAGTAGAAGAAAACTGCTGTCAAGAAACATGCACACAGGGGCAGCCGGGTGGCTGAGTTGGTTAAGCACTGGACTCTTGATTTCAGCTTAGGTCATGATCTTGCACAGTCTTGAGATCGAGCCCCACGTCGGACTCCACACTCAGTGTGGAGCCTGTTAGGGATTTCCTCCTCTCTCTCCCTCTCCCTCTGCCCCTCCTCTGCTCCTGCTAGCTCTCTAAACAAACAAACAAACAAACAAACAAACAAACATTAAAAAAAGGGGGGGGGTGGTGCCTGAGTGGCTCAGTTGGTTAAGTCCAATTTCAGCTCAGGTCCTGATCTCATGGTTTGTGATTTCGAGCTCCATGTCTGGCTCTGTGCTGACAGCTCAGAGCCTGGAGCCTGCTTTGGACTCTGGATCTTCCTTTCTCTCTGCTCCTCCCCCATTCACACTCTGTCTTCCTCTCTCTCAAAAATAAACATTAAAAAAAAATTTTTTTTAAAGAAATGTGCACATAACTTGGGGGATGGACAGTGAAGGAAGAACCAGTCACAACCCACAGTGGACAATGGGTCGCACTGTCACTATCTGACATATCAAGGACTTTTAAAACCTAAATGATCACCCTGTCAGATACCTGGCGTGGTACTAGGTACTCCCATTAGGAAAATCAAAACGATGACTTAAGAATAAACTTTCCTGTTGATGAGAATTTTGTTGAATGGTAAATGAATACACCCCTTTGGGGCAGCAACAGGGCAATCTTAGAGCCCCCAAGGGCTTGTTTCCCTTGATTCCCTTTGATCCATTTCTATAAAATCTAGTTTGAAAGCAACACAAAATAGGAGGCACCTGGTAGCTCAGTCAGTTGAGCATCCGGCTCTTGATTTCTGCTCAGTTAAGGACTGGCCACTTGGCAGAAAATCAAAGCTTCTAGAAGGCCTTATAAAATTTTTTAAAAAATGTACAAATCTTTATATTATGATGTTCAAGAGAAAAGATAACATTATACGTAGAGTATTAATGCAACTGGGGAGAAAATCTTCAATGCACAGAAAAAAACAGAAAGGCAGAAAATGCTAATTGTGAATTATTTTTGTTGGAAGTATACATGACCCCCTCTTTTTTTTTTTATTTCCCAAAACTTGTATAACAACAGGCAGTACTTTTTACACTGGAAAAAAAGGGTTTTCCCAAAGTCAATTTTCTATCTGCAGTAGTCAAAAACAGCATTCTCTCTCTCTCTCTCTCTCTCTCTCTCTCTCTCTCTCTCTCGCTCCTGATTCTCCCAGGCACGAATCAAGAGGATGCTCCTGGTTCCTTGGGGTCAATGGCGGCATGAGAACACAGTGACACGACCAGGGCTAAAGTCCACAGGCATGAGGCAGCTCAGTTGTGAGGGGGTTCCCAGCAACCAAAGCCCCACAGGCTACACAGACCCACCATCCACCACTTCAAAGCTGGGGGTAAGGAGGGCTAATATTGGGACAGGATTTTTGGACACAGGGTTCCGGGCTCCACCGGCTGTGCATGTGGTGACAGACGGCTGCCTGACTCCCCCCGTCACCTGGGACTCTCAGATGAAGAAAACGCTTTCAAGCCTTATCATCTGTTGACTTTGCTTTACAAGCCCAGCTCTGACATGAAAGCATACGGTGTTCACAGTGACAGAAGCCACACAGACCGCACAGAACATGTGGTCTGTGGGCAGCAAACAAACAATGCATTAAACCAAAAACATTTTAGGAAACAGGAGGAACTTTCAGTTAGTAAGCCTGCGTTTATCGTTCCCATTAATCGCTTCTCGGTACAAACAGACTGATGCAAGAGACAGGAAATACGGACACGCGGCGTTCACCCCACCGAACAAAGTCAAGGTGCAATTACAACCCGCTACTTCTACACAGCCCTGACGCCACACAAGCCAGGAAAAGCAGGAATGCCACATTCCAAAGAAAACACGGCAGTCGGGAGGCATCTTTGTTGTCCATTTCAGATGCTTCAAGGCGTCACAGACACACACAGAGGAAGAGGAGACACTGCCAGATTCTAGCACTTTCACCAGAAATGAGACACGGAGACTGACAGGATTTATCTTTGCCGTACGGGCACCGGCTCACTCTCAGGGTCTTGCCTTCAGCTGCGGATTTTCCTGGTTTTCGAGAGGTCGTCCACAAGTCACCTGACACTGAGGCCTCAAGTCCCCAAACGTGTCCTGCACCAGACAGGTTCAGTGTCCAGTGAAGGCACGGGCCCTCGTCGGGACGGGCACGGGCACGGGAGCTGACCAGTGGGACAGCTACTCGGCTGTTGAGGATCTGAGCTTTCTCTAGGCTTAAGAGGAGAGGAAGGTCGGCTTAGCATTCCCACCCACTCGGTAAAATAAGGTCCCTGGAAGGAACACGCGTGGAGTTGTAGGCCAGGTAACAGCACCAACATTAATTACATCAGCTCTGACAGGCGAGCAAGCGCTGCTTGGCTTCTGAGGGACGGCAGTGACCTAGGCCCTAGGGTTTTTGTTGGTTTGTTTCTTGAAGAATCGCTTGAATCTGAGATTTGCTTTAAAATACTACAGGAAAAAAAAAAACCCACATGGGGAGTGGGGAGGGCAGATAAAACAAAAACTGGCCGCCTGCTGCTAACTGTTAAAGACGAATGTGGCACTGGTGGGGAGTCACTTGGCTTTTCCTTCTACCTACGCTTGAAATTTCCCGTAACGTGAAAGGTTAAAGATAAAAATATTTGGAAAGCCAGCAAAATAAAAGCAAGCGGCATCATCTGAAAATGTGCAACGAAAGCCCAACGTGAAAAGGTGGCTGTTTTTGTTTAATAACGAGAATGTGTATCAGGCAAGATTCTTGCTTTAAAAAAAAAAAAAAGTAAACAAACAATTCAGCCATGTGAACAGAAACCTGGCCTAACTATAAGGCTATAAACAAACACTGCTCCAGAATAAACCGCTCTATCTATACGGAGACTGATAAGGATAAAAGCCATCTCATAAAGCTGTTTTACTTTCGGAAGGAAAAAAAAGCAGGGGGTGGGGGTGGGGGTGGGAGAGGAGGTTACTTCACAAGCATGAAAACAGGTGTTACTCAAGGTAAAGGCAAGGATCTCAGAGGAGGAACTGACTTGGGCAGAAAGTAACCTCCTCACTGCTCCCCAGGGAACGAACACTGGACGGGACCTGATTTCCTAGTGGCTCCAGCTCGAGCCCGAAACGGCCCAGTCTTCACACCCAGAGAAACGTGGATGAGGTTATGTGACAACTCATTGCTACTGCTGTGCTAATTGAATCCTCCTTTTTAACCCGGGACAGAAATGGCTCAAAACAGATGTTTACACCCTTCCTTTTGCCCAAGTTCCTAAGGACATTTTTATTTCCAAAAGATGTGAATTTTCGTCGTTCCACGAATACCTCTTTCACCTTCATTCTCCATTCCGTCCTGTCTGGGACCTCATGCCCTCTCCCTCGGGACTGGGCCACACGTGGACTCGACTCTGCTCCCCTCCTGAGCTACGGGCCTTCGTGGCTCCATCCAGCACCACCAACAGCCCCACCCACCCATTCTGCCGCTTCTCAACCATTTGGGCAATGCCACGTGCCCACTGCCCCGGACCACGCAGTCGGAGGCAGCCCCTCCACTGCCACTTCCCACTCTGTGGCTCGCCCCGCCCCTCGGGTATCCCGCCCTTCAGCCTCTGTGGCCCTGCACACCCTGATTTCTGCCCCCCCCTTGGCGCCCTCTTTCTCTACTCCCAACAGAGAGGAACATTTCCGGGTGCTCCCCTGAGTTCTCTCAGAGGACACATCCATCTCTGTAACTTCAGCCTACATGGGGAGAGTCCAGGGCCCCCATTTCCTGAGCTCTTCTTTCTGGATCAACTGGACACTTCCACTATTTCCTACCAGAACTCAGCTACCACCTGCCCAAAGTCATGCCCTCCATCTTTTACCTCAGATCAACTTCTACTCTTGATTACCCTATTTTGTTAACGCCCCACTATTCTCTTGGAAGGCAGACAGGCTCCAATGACTCTGTTGACGCTCATTTCTCCCCAATACATCTCACTGGTTGCCAAACTTGAGGGTCTATTTCTAGAACAATCGTCACTTTGTTTCCTACACCCAATATCCCTCCAACATCATCAAAGCCCCTTCCCTTTCAAGGACTCTAGTCTATGTGGCCTTTGGATTCAGCTGAGTCTATGCTTAAATCCTAGCTCTGCCAGTTACCAGCCCAGTGACCTCAGCAAAATTATCTAATCTCTCTGGGCCTGAATTTCTTCATCAATAAAGGAAAAACCCCAGAGAGATAATAATACCAACCTCATGAGGCATCTCTAGGTGGATTAAATAGGATTAAATGTTTGTCAAGACTTTAAGTCTGTGCCTTGACACAGAGAACAGTGATCCTTTTAAGGACAGAAGTCAGAGTACTCTCTACTCAAAACCTTTGGTGGTCCCCATCTCACTCAAAAAGTCAATGGCCACATGGTGGCCTGCAAATCCTAGACAATTCCACTCTCCCACCCTCTAACGCTCTCCCACTATTTCCTCCTTGCTTATTCCAGCCGAGCTGGCCTCCTTGTATTCCTCAACTACCGTCTAGCCTGTCCCTGCCTCAGGGCCTTTGCATTTGCTGCCCCCTCTGCCCACGTCTTTGATTAAATATCACCATCTCAGAGAGGTCTTCCATGACCACCTCTTACCGCCCCCCCCCCCCCCAACCAACAAGGATTCCCTACCCCTCTTCCCTACTTGATTTTTCTCCACAACACTTACCACCTCTGAAGTACAGTACATTACTTA